GTAGGAGTGATATCAATAAGTTTATTTACAACATTAAAGCTATCATGTGTAATTAAAATTAATACAACTCAAAATATATTTAAATATTGATAGTTTATAGAATTTTGCGCATTCTAAGTTCCATCCAGGGTATAATCTGCTGGACTGACACAGGCTCTCTTAGAGGTAATCCCCTTGAGTCGGATGATGATACAGAGAAATCAGAATCAAGGAACTACCTCCAAGAGAATCTTGTAGTAACCTGGTGAACTCAATACCTGCATATTCCAGATAAAACATGGTAATATCATTTCTCAAATTAAATACAGTGTTTCCATAAGTTAATGGGCATTTATCTACATTGACATCTTCTTTAAAACTTGATCCAGTTGTTTGTGCCTTTTCACTTCGTTCAGATCCAGGTCAATCTATATAATCCTAAATGAAACCGTGGTTTTTGCACTCGTATTGTCTTTCTTTTGTCGACGTGCGCATAAGGTGAACACAACACGACTTCTACTGCTTCATATTCTCATTGCTGTAACACTTGTTGCCCGACCAAAGGAACCGTGCATGAAGCAATATAAAACTTCAGGAAAGATTGCAACTTTCTTCTCGTTAATTCTGATAACTTTTTCGTATTTGTCGTAGCCTTTAATGTTCATGATAGACGGAGTACGCTGTTTATCACCTAATGTACCATATAACTGTTCTTGACGAAGTTCCATGAATGAAATTACTGTTTTAACAGTCCAATCGGTTCTTTGCGATATTATTTCGAATATATCGTGCACCGCCTGCGGTCTAACATCCAAATCGTGTACTAGGACATAATTTGTACCTATCGAATCGGTTTTACCATTGTCTATTCAGGTATATGTTAATATTGGTACGTTGTACCCTGTAAAATGATAAATGCACAATTGTAATGTCTAAAAATGTGATTCTGACATTCTTTCTTACCTGGAAACTAATTCTGCACCATACTTTGTACATGTATAGTATAAAAATCTCCCTGTTCAATATTGAAGGGAAAATATCATTGGCGGTAAATGATTTTAAGTACACATAATGTGTAAGGCCATCCCCTTCAACCCGGCAGATCTGAAATACAAAAGCAAATTTTGAATTATAAAATAAATAAATGTAACAATTACAGACCACGGATGTTTATGTATTTATGGGAATTTTAAATAATTTACAGAAAGACAGTACATAGTAATATGTAAATAAATAGAAAATATCCAAGGAAAAATACAATTTATGATACTCGGAGAAGGAAACGAATGTCTCTATCTAATTTGCTTCTTTAATTTTATTTATAAAAATATAAATTCTCATAAACATC